TAAATAGATTTTCAATGTGTTTTGTACCTGTAAATACAAGGCTCTTCATTTGAAGAAATTAAAAGCACAAAGGTGAATTTAGGAAAGATGAAGATCGAAGGGACATCATGGAATTTCTATAAGACTCAAAGAAGGTAATTAAATTCTACCTTAGAAGATAATTCTTCATAAATTTTTTAATTTTGTGTGAATTGTTTATCTTTAATTAAAAAAATTAATTTTGAAGTGAAAACAAGTGGCCTCCTTGAAATTATACTCCTGAAAATTATTTAAATATTTTAGTGAATTTTTTGTTTTAAATAAGAAATATTTTAATCTACAAATTATAATTATTATATTTTTTTATCATTAATTTACATATAAAAAATAAAACTTGATTTAAATTTGATCAATTGCTAAATTATATCCTTTCATGTGCCATTATTATTAAAAATAAAATTGACTTTTGTAATTTTATACATAAATTAATAAAAAAATATAATAAATACACTTTTTATGATGTATTTAAGGATACAAACTAAAAAAATTTAAATTATAATCCCTAAAATATTTAAATCATTTTATTATCATTACTTATGTTCTTAGGACTATTGATTTTCAAGTTACGTATAGCGCTCCTTTGCACTTTATTTGGAAAAATTAGAGGGGAAGGGAAGCCGAATTAAGGTGATTTTTTGTTATTTAGATTAATAATTTTAATAGAAAGAGAGATGGAGTTGTTTTTTTTGGTCTATCTTCAATTCTTGTAATTTGAAGAGATTAAGACATATTATATTGTTTAACTTATTTTTTTTTTTTAATAAATATGGATAAATATTTTATTTTTAACTATTTATTTAATTAAAAAATTGTAAAATTATTTTTTAAAATTATTTAATTAAATAAAAATTTTATTTTTTTCCTTCACTTTTATTTATCCAAACAAAATTATTATTAATCTCTTCTTTTTTGACAAATACCTACTTTTAGCCTCTCATCTTATCAAGTTTAAAAGTTTTAACCTCTTATTTTATATTATGACACTCTTAGCCCCTTATCTTATTAAGCTTATAGGTTTTAGCCTCTCACCTATTAAAATCGAAGAAAATAGTCATCATTTTATACTAACTGTTAACTCTGTTAACTGAAAGTATGTTTTTGTCAACTAACAGTTAACAAATAGTTAATTAACAGAATTAACTTTATAATATTTTGTTAATTCTGTTAACTCTGTTAGTTGAAAGAAGATTTTTATAAATTAACAGTCAACTAACAAGTAACTAATAGTCAGTTAATAAAGTTAATAGTTAACTAACAGAGTTAATAGTCAGTTAACAGAGTTAACAGTAAGCTAATAGAACTATTATTAATATGTGAATATTTTTTGCTCTTTGTTTTGAATGGTTTCTAATGTGCAGATTTTGGGTGTCAAGAATTTGGTTTATTCTGGGGCATTTACTGTTGATTTAGACAGGAATGGTGCGTTTACATCGGCTGAAAGAAAATCAGGCAACAAACACCGGGATTCTTTAGATTAGTGTCTGCAAGAGAAAATTTCTTCCTTTGTTTTTTTTTTTTTTTCCTATATTCGGTTTCTTTATTTTCACATAAACTCTTTAGTTTCCTGTTTCTGGCATGAAGTAGATGAAGAGCAGAGGGTTGAAAGGACGAGGAGTAGGTTTTTGATTTTGGGATTTGCTAGGTAAAAATCTTCTCTGCTCTGTTGCTTTTCTTTTCCCTAATTTTCTTCATTGTTACTTGATGGAATGGTGAGGAAAAAAGCTATTCTTCCGTGTTAGATTTTTGACTGTTTAGTTCTAAAATTTATATGGCTGTAATTAAGTCTTTTTTTTTTTCTTTTTTTTTTTTAAACTTTGAAAGCTTTCTTTTATTGATAATAGATCATACACTGCAGTATCTTTTACATTTTTCTGCATCTGACACATGGTAGGATTTGGTTAAGGCTTTCACGCATTTGGAGTTCTGTTACACTTCTGAGACTGAAGCATAAGGGTGGATTGGACACAGTTGAAATCGATGAGAATGTAAGCAAACTAGAGAACTAAATTCCATATTGCTTACTTCTTTACTAAGTTTGTTTGAAATTTATTTTTTTTAGTATCAATCCATGTTGTTATGGAGAAGAAATGTGCCCATCAGTTTAGAAACCTACTGCAAGAGGGTCGTATTTACACCATCTCCAATTTCAGCTGCATTACGGTTGTGAATTACAGGCCTGTGGGAATATTAGAGAAAATCAGATTGGAGGCAGCCAAGTGGTTGAGGAAGTAGAAGCAGGTGCCGTTGCTATTAAGTGCTGTCTTTTTTAGATTCAGGACCTATTTGGTGTGGCTCGAAACTTTTAACAAAATTATAAAAATTCTGTTAGAAAAAATCTGTCATATAAAGACTATTTTTAAAAAGCAAAAAATATTTGATAAAATTTTTTATAAAAATATTTGCAAGTGAAAAGTTTTTAGTAAATTTTTTTATAAAAAAATTTTTAATTTTAAAATAATTGAAATAGACATTTCCTTGAAAAAAAGTATTGTTTCTATCTTTTTTTGACCTTTTTATAGGGTTTTAATTTTTTTTTAATTTAATTATGTTAAAATTGATGATTACAAATAAAATTTTTATATTTATAAAATATAACTATTAGTAATTAATAATTTCATATTAATAAATAAATAAATATTTATATTTTAATATTAAAAAATAAAACATACTACATTTAAATTTTATAAATAAAAAAATAAAAATAAAAATAATTATCTTAACAGTCTTTTAAAAATAAAAAAATATTTTCTTTAAAAAAACATTATTTCTCTTCTTTTTTTTTTAATTTAATTATCAAAAAATTTATATCATTTATCAAGAATTCTATGATTATTTTTATTGGAAAAAAAGAACCTAAATACATCGTGATATCATATAAACAATCAAAGTCTTAATATTAGACTTATAACTAAAGTACTTTAAAAAAAACCACTACAATATGATTTGCTGAACAAATCCTCACTTTTAGGTTTAGGCACTCAAGGTATGCCTTGACATACTCATTTTCTTAAATGCGAAAGCACAACCATGTCTTTGTTCTTGATCCATAAAAATAATTTTGCCAGTATCAACTCCAACAAAGTTCTCCAAAATAGCTTCATCTTTAAAAACTTTTGACATTGCTCCAAAAACATAGGAACCAAGCTAGTACAACCAAAGACAATTCCTCTTTTTTTTTTTTTTTCCTGTTCATGGTATATGATGTTCAATAAACTATAGACAAGGCTGTTTACTGGGGAAAATGGTAGGTATGAATTTTAAACCATATGTATGTTAAGAAGTATAAAAATACAGGTTTTAATAGAATAGAATAAACATGAACAGAAAACACAGAGCACAATATAATTATAATGAGCAGCAGTCTGCAGTCTCATACAACTAAAAGCATCATAGGCAGAAGATATTGCATCATTTGTCTCCCTTCTACCCATGCAAGGAATTTCAGCTATAATTACTCCGGTAGCTGGATTGTTAACCTACAATAATATGAAGCATTAGTAGGCAGAGGTTAGAAAGAATAACAAAGAAATGCACAACATTGAAAAATTTGGAACCTTATTGTTCCGAACAAGGAGATCAAATTTAAGCACAAGATAAGAATTAAGAACAAGGACATGTATTCACTCATCATAGAAGTTTCCTAAACTCATGCCAACAAACAGACATACATGAAAAGCCATTTTTGACAACATCCAAAATGAGTCTTTTCATTGCATTAGAAAACCAGATTCTTGTGCATGCTTAATATTTACACATTTTGTGTATATAGGTAATAATAATAATAATAATAATAATAATAATAAAATCAAATGCAGGTAAGCATCAAAAGAAACTTAAAAGGCAATTTCCAAACAAAATCTTTGTGGCTGATGAGCTAATTCCACTCTAGCAAGTGTACTAGTCCGTTCAAGTAATATAATGATGAAAATAGAGTATCGTCCCACAGAGACCGTAGACTAATTAAGTACCAAAATTAATGAATTCTAATTTTATTTGAACAATTGAAATTAAATGATTTGAATAAATTAAATCACTAAACTAGTTAAAGAAAAACTAAATCAACTTTGAGTAATACCAAGAATTAAAAGTCTAAGGCATCCGACTTCACCATCATCAACTAATATAGAATTTTAGATCAATATACTTCCAAGGTATTTATTATTCATGTGACAGCGGGATTTCCTAATTTATTCGATATACTTTCTCAAGTTATACCAAACCTATCTTCACCTATTAACCCACTATATCTCTATGTGAATTTAAAGAGATAAAGACGCATTATGTTCTATGAAATTCCCTAGTTTACGTAGAAAATTAAGTCCACTTATCACTAATGCTGCACAAATCACGTTGGTCCATCTCTGGCTTTCGTTCAATTCATGGTATATATTACTAAAAGCTATTGCATAA